GGATTCTGGGGCTTCATCTGACATACTTTGGACATGTTGTAAGGAGGGACAGGTCCTTGGAGAGGGACATCATGTTTGGGAGGGTGGAGGGACAGCGCAGGAGGAGAAGACCCTCTATGAGATGGATTGACTCGGTGACTGGGGTAATCGGGATGGGTGTGTCAGAGGCAGTGCGGTTGGTGCAGGATAGAGCAGGGTTTAGGGATGTTGTACATAGGGTCGCTATGAGTCGCAAAAGACTCAATGGCACATAACAATAAGGGAGACTAACAAAAGACTAAGTGGCATCTCTAGTCTCAGAAGCAGCATTCTGGAGCTAAGTCTTCGTTGCTACAGAGGAACTCCATTCAGTTACAGCATGGCAATCAAATGACACATAGGGAATGTAATACCACCTTCTCAGTAACAGGACAAGGGTAAAAAAATGTTTAGAAACTATGTGCGCAAAGATATTCTCATTTACTCTGAAAGATATTACAGCCCTCTCAAAAGTCTTTGTTGCTATTGAGGTGGTTTTAACGCACAACAGGATAATACTGCTCTGCTCCTGAGACTTCTCATTAGCTGACTTTTGTAAGAATATCAGTAAGTCCTTCTTTCTAGTCCATCTGAGTGTAGAAATTCCAACGGGCCTTTTCAGTGACACACAAGTCACCACTGACACAATTGGACGGCATTTCTGTTTGGTTATAAAAGGGGTTATTAAGAATTGGAACTGACACAAAGTTGTTGTTGTTAGGTGTCAACAACTCTAGGACCAATGAATAACAGAGCTGAACGCTGGCTCATCCCGTGCCATCCTCGTGATTTCTGCCCTTCTCAAGCCCCTGTTATAGTCACTGTGTCAATCTAGCTCATAGTCTTCATCTCTTTCACTGACCCTCTACATTTTCCAGCATGATCTCAAAAACTGATCCCTCCTAAAAACACCCACCCCAAAATAAGTGAGACAATGATTCGCTCTCTGTGCTGTTAAGGAGCGCTCTGGTTGCGCTTCCTTCAAGATAGATTTGGTCGTTCTTTTGGAAGTCTCCATGGGATAAAAAAATGCATTTTGTTCTTTTTAGATGCCACTGAATCAGCTTCGTCTTACACTAACTCCATATGATAGAGTCTCACTATCGCTGCTGTGCTCAAGTCCCCTGTGGCACCCCCTGTGTCAATCCACATCACTGAGACTCTTCGTCAATTTCCCCGACCTTCTACTTTCCTGTGTAAAGTAACATCTTTCTCTAGAGACTTGTGCTTCCTGGTAACATGCTCAAAACATGTAAGACAAAGCATCATCAGCTTCATTTCGAAGGAGCATTCTGGCTACACTTTACCAATACAGATTTGTTTGTGCTTTTGGCAGTCCGTGCTATATACACCTACTCCTCATATACCTACTGTCACATTACCTGGCCTTTCACATTTACAACAGTCAAGAAAATAGACTCTCCAACTACTTTGAGTATTAATGACATACACTTACTTGGCATTAATGAATGCTGAGATATAAGGTGAGAGCGATACTAATTAAGAGGGTTAATGCAGTGTGTCAATGTGGCTGGATCCTCATTCTTCGTGGCTTCAGTTATATAATGATGTAATTTGGCAATTATGTAATTATTTAATTGGGCAATTATGTAATGCTTTAATTTAGCTGTTACATAGTGATTTAATTTCTTTGTTGCATAATGATGTAGTCATCTTCCATTTTTGCACAATGCTGGCTTTTGCATAACAACCTGGTCTCTGCAACTTAACCATGTTGATAAGTGAGGAGTGGGTGTGTAATTTTTTTAAAGTGATTTCTCTCTTTTTCCTAGGGTTAACACTCCCTATCTCATTTTTGTATTTAGGCAGAAATCTGGAGAATGAATACGCCTATGAAGAAAACAGTAGTGAAAGAAAAGCAATTCTATGGAATCAGCTGGTTTTGTTGTTGTTGTGTGTGTGTTTTAATATGCTGGTTGGTTATGCAAAATAAACTAATAATACATATTAAAGTAAAAAGGTCAGGGATTAAAAGGGTCTCATCTGATTGTTTTCATAAAAATATCATCTTTATTTACCATTCTGTATTCATGTAAGTTTCTTTAAAATTACTAAATTTGTTACCATCAAGTCAATTCTGACTGGTAGAGACCCTAGATGGAAGACATGGACCACCCATAAGTTTTCAAGGTTGGAAACTTTGAAAATTCAAAATGCCAAATATTTTTCATGTTGAGCAGCTGGTGGTTCAAACTGTCAAATTCTTTTTTAGCAGCTAAATGTTTAACCACTGAATCATTTTGGTTCCTTTTTAAATGATTAGATCCACAAATGCTCTCTCCTATTTTTTTTTCTGGAAATCTAAAATATCTCTTCTGTAACAATAACTATTTTATTGATGAAAAGAAGTCAGCTGCAAATTATCACTACATTTTGATTCATACAAAGTATGTCAAGGCATGATGGCCTAATAAGAGGCAATTTCAGGTATCACTGAAACATCTAACTGTATATACAGAAACCAAACCTTGAGAAAATCACCCAATCATTTGAAAATCTTATTTGTTCAAGTGGAAAATGGAGCTAATCATGCACCCCCCCCAGAAAAGAGAGCTATCATCAAGTTTAACAGTATATGATCCATACATTCCAGATTGTTGAAGAGCTAAACTTTGTGCGCTGCACAAAATTAAAGCAGCTGATAGGCTTTTGCCCAAATAGAATTGTGTATCCTCATTTCCTTCTCTTTTTCCCCACTTATGACTCAAGCCAGATTTCATCGAGCTATTTTTATAATTACTAAAATGCTAGAAATACAGCAGCAGGCCAGAAGCAAAGTAAAATGCAGCATCCAGCAAAAGAAAGAAAATCACACTGAGTAACTGAAAGGCCATCTGCTTCTAACTGAGCTGGAGGGGTGAGGAAGGCAATCTGGGCTGTACTATTTGTGTCCTCCCCAGAACCATACCCACCTGCATGTTGTCAGTGGCATCCCCGAGCAGTCCTCCAAAAGTGATAGCATTAGTTACAGTTGCCAGATAAATGAAGAGAATCGCTGAAAGAGCCTGAATATTTAAAGCATCATAAAAATCACTGGCAAAAAATGGTGCTTTCCTCTTTATGTCCTTAACTAGTCCACCACAGAACCTGGGCAGGGAGAAAGCAAACATGTGACAATGAAAAAGAAATACTCTCAAATTAGCCTGGAGATAATGTACTGAACTACAAAGAACGTGTACTTAAAATGCTTGCATTAGTAGCATGATGCTATTTGACCATTTAAGATGAAACCTGACATCTGCAGAGAAGTATGATTTTTTCTTCCCTATCACTTTCTCTTTTTGGTCATCATATTAGGAATCATGTTTCCCTCAAAGTTTGTTAAGTTGGTCTTTCAACGAAAGTATCTAGTGTTAATGAGTTAAACTTTCTCACTCCTTAGAGATAAACATCCAAATGTGTGCAGATCATACAAGGCCTCTTATACTCTCACCAAAGTTTTCTTCCCATATTCATTGCTTCAAATAGTCATTCCACAAATGTTTATGAGCAACTGAAGTGTCTGGTATTTCTTAGGTGTAAGATATACAGCAGTGAACCAAATAAGCAAAAATCCCTCCCATTTGTAGAATTACTTTTTGTGAGGGGAACAGATAATAAATAAGCAGGTAAAACATTGATGAAATTGATAAATACTGATAAGAACAGAAGAAAAAAACATAATGTGGGAAAGACAGTTATGAAGTACCGGAGGAGTGGTAAATAAAATTTACCTTTCAGTTAAGAGTCCAGAAAAGCCTGTCTGAGGAAATGATTTTGAGTAAGCCCCTAAAACAACTGAGGGAGGAAGCCATGCCTCATGTTGTGCTGCAAGACAAGCTACGCCTCCTTGTCAACTCTACTCATCCTACATCTTGGTCAATTCCTCCTTCGCCAGGTAAATCTCACATCTCAGCCTTTTTCATGTATTCTCTCTGCCCAGGATGTTATCTCTTCAAAGGTAACAGCTCCCTGAAACCTTGACTACCTACTCATAGTTCAGATTTCCAATATGGACTATCACTCTACCAGAATTATATTTCTGTGTGTGTAATCACCCAGCTCTGCCCCAGGGCTCTGTCTGGGCTGTCTTTGTAAATAAAGGGTCATGCATGGCTCTGGGCCTATGACTCCAGCATGCATGAAACGAAAAATAGGAAAAAGATAAAATAAATTTTAAGTAAAAAAAAAATAATTAAAGGTACATCTCAGCTCTAAAGAGAAGGAAGGTCTAGTCTAGGAAAAAAATACAAGTGAGCTACAGGGGCAAAGAAATAAGATTCGTTCAGATTCAACTGCTCAGTAAATGACATATTTTTATCTGTTTTCTATGAAAAGTAAAACTTTAAAAGTTTTAAAAAGTCAAATTTTCATAAAATGAATATTAAATAAAAATTTATTATATGGAGCGCAAAATAACTTGAGGAACTTGGTAATTTAGAAAGACTTAGAAGGAAAGAAGACTTATACCTGTTACTTGCTCATTTTGTTACCATGTTACTTGCTTCTTACAGGGAAGAGACAGAATTGGGAAAACCAAGTGAGCAAGACTGGCACATTACTCAGTCTCTTCATTTTACACTCATTCACTGAATTTCTTTGGACCTTATTCCAGTACCTCCTCTCACTCACTTCATTTCCATCACTAGTACAAAGGAAGCATGCTATGCTGACATCCCTTGTACCTGGTTTGGCACACTTCTTCTCTCTCCCTCCAGCTACATGGCCTGTTTCCCATCTCCTTCAAAGCGTCACTCAAAAGCTACCTTCTCTCCAAGGCTTTCTCTACCCATCATACCTACAATAATAACTTTCTCCTACTGCAAAATACTCTATTTCTCCTTTTTTCCCCTTGGTAAAACCATCAACACATTTATTTCTTTATCATTTCTATCTTGTCATTACAAAATAAATTCCATAAAGTCAGAAAGCTCTGTTTAGTTCACTGTTGTATTCCCATTATCTGAGTCCAACTAACACAAGTGAAATATTTTTAATTAATAAATTAACAAAGCAGTAAATCAAATGCTGACAGAAAAATGAGAAGCAACTTAGACCTAAAGAGAATGACATCACGAATGACAAAGGGTCCATCAGTTACCTTCCAGTTCGCTGCAATTCTTCACAATCCCCATGCCCTCCACCTCCATGTCCTCCATCATGGGGCGTGTCCCCATTCATCTGAACATTCTCTCCACCTGAGTACATATTCTTTCTAAATAAAACAAGAAAGTGCAAGAAGAAATGTTTATTTCATTAATCTACTTCTCAGCTATAACATATACTAATTAAAGAAGACATGAGATAAGCATCTTTTGGAAGAAAGAATAGTCCCTTCCACTATTGTAGCACACAATTTTTTTTCATGCATTTCCATACATTCGTTGTTGCACTTTTCTCCTGGCCCACCCCTCCCCTCCAGTCCGTTCTTCTCTTTGAAAAGAAAAATTCTTTCATTTTTATACAATCCATCCCCCTAAGTCCACTCCACTATGTAGCCTTTGTTCTGGACTCCTGTCATGACAATAATACCTAAAATCATATATCTCTTTTAAACAGTTCTCTCCCTCATCTATTTCAATGCAGTATACATTATTTATCCCATCTTTCTTAGTCTCCCCCCAACCCCTATGTCAGTCCCATTTTAGAACAGTGGCACTATGCAGTATTTGTCCTTTTGTGACTGAGTTATTTCACTCGGCATAATGTCCTCTGGGGTCATCCACTTTGAATAATATTTTATGAGTTCCTTGTTTTTCAATGAAGTGTAGTAGTCCATTGTGTGAATATATCAGAGCTTCTCCATCTATTCATTTGTTGATGGGCACTTAGGTTGTTTCCAACTCTTTGCTACTGTGAACAAAGCCATGATAAACATGGGTGTGCATATATCTGCTTGGGTGACAGTTCTGGTCTCTTTGGGGTATATCCCCAGTAGTGGAATTTCTGAGTCAAATGGTATTTTTACTTGTAATTTTTTGAGAAAGCACCATGTAGCACACAATTCTTAAAGTGTGATATTTAGCATCAAGACAAACCATTAGTTGAATGGGAAAGCTGAATGAACTGTCTATCATAAAAGAAGAAAACATGGGTAGTGGTAAACTGTTATTAAACCATTTTACTTCAATAATTTTATTTGATTTCTTAGACTATTATGTCTACAGGAACGCATGTTGAGTAAATTGATCATTCCACTTGTAAAGGGAAGAGCGTAGTGGGGTAATGACTAAATGCTGTATTGCTAACAAAAAAGACCTAGGTATTTACTCCTGTAAAGATTACTGCCTAGAAAGTTTTAAAGGGTAGTTCTATTTCATAACATGATATTGTTATGAGTTTAAACAGACTTGATGACATGTAACAAAAATAACAACACATATAGTCCCCAGGACATCCTCACAGAGATTCTGTGATGTTTTTCAATATTATAATTTGAGTTTTATTTCCTAATTTATAATCACTGAAGAACACTACAGCTTATGACACTCATTTTACACTTCAAAAGAATGTGGAACCAAAGCATATGTGGATTCACTTGAGAAAATATACCAAGTTAAGTGGGAACCTGGAAATAGGAGAGAAGCAGCCTGATCTTATTTCATCCTCCAAACATAAGCCTCGTCCTAGGGATGTCCTACCATTCCATCTGTCTGCTAATTTACCTTTTATCAGATGATGGAAGACTCTTGGGAGGCTCTATCCTGATTGCTGGATCCCATTCTCCAGGTGGAAGGACAATAACTTCATCCAGGAACTCATCAATGCCAGCAATCAGGTCCTGCCTGTCTTTTGCTTTATAAGCAATGTCATGGAACACCTACAGAGCAATAAAATATAGCTACTATCACAAGGGGACTCTCATATTATGTCAAACCGAATAATATAAATGTTAATCCATTGAAATATTATCACAGCTCTGTTGCCACATTTCCTATTATTTATCTTCAACCCAATATATTAAATAAGTATTCTAGGAAAAGGTAATATTGTCTCTCATCTCCCACTGGTATGTACCCCTGATAAGAGTTGGTAGAAAATCCAAAAGAAAATGGTTTGGAAAAATGTGCTGAAAAGTCATTTTCCTGAAATAAAAATTACTGTGACAAATAACTGCTGATAAATCAAGAAAAGAAAGGTTAAGCTGTGTGTTAAGATCAGGCTACACCCCAGCATTACAGCTCTCAAACATATAATTTAAGTTTTGATTAAAGAAACAAAAACCTGAGTCATATTGGCAGCACACAGAACAAAGGAACTGTAATTGGTTATCATCCATCTATCTTTAGGTAACGCAGCACCTAAAACACTCAGTGCAGAAAACACTTCACGCTTCTTAAGCACTTCCAAAGAAGGAACTTCCAGAAAGCACATAATCTTGTCAATTGTTCCCTTTCTCTTACTAAGCCAACGATCCCAAAGTCCTATAGACATACCTAAGTTTCATGTTTCATAAATCAAACTCTTTAATCTCTAGAACAGAAGGTGACCCCTATGAAATGTTCTTGCCTACTCTTAACAACTGGGACTAACTCAGCTCTTTTCTCAACAAGAATTTTTAAAAGTCAACAAATAGTATTTAGTTAGGATAGGCTCATGGGGTTGAAAAAAAAAGGCCACTCAAAGTGCCAGTATATAATTTGTGGTAGACTTAACCATCTTTATTTTCCATTGCTACCTCCCACTTCCGAAACCAAACCAAAGTGACGCTATCAAGTGGAACCTGACTCAGAGCAATTCTCCAGGACACAGAAGAGGTTCCCCACAGGATTTCCAATCTTTATGGAGGCAGGCTGATACTTCTTCCAAGGAAGCTGGTTTCATACTGCAAACCTATTGTTGGCAGTCAAGTGCTATAACTACTGTACAATATACCCTCCTCCTACTATATTATAGATTGAGCCCACTCAAAAGTCACTCTTCATTGAGTTTCTAAGGCTGTAAAATTTGCTCAATGCGTTGTGCACTATGCCACCAAAGATCTATTAATGGTAACTGGAAGACCACAGTTGCTATCTTAGCCTCACCTACAGATGAGGATTGATTTTTCTGACCAATGAGATACGGGCAGTTCTCCTCGTACAAACGAGAGCCATTGCTAACTTAGATCTTTAGAATGTGCAACTAATTCAAGCCAATGAACATAATTCTTACTTAAGTTTCCTTGAGTGCAAGAAGCTCCAATTTTACCTAAAAATTATGAGTTGTCCATAAGTCAGAAGTTCTTAGCAAGACACTCACTACATTAAAAAAAAAAAAAAAAGCCTGGTAAACTTTCGACTACCTCACAAAAGAAACAAACACAGCTAGGGCACCCAAGGAGCTGTGCGGCCAACTCAAACGTGGCACCAGATGTTAGGTTCAAAGCTGACCTTACAAATCTTAAGACCAATGAGCAAGAGTCTTGTTTCTAGACTTATTATTAAGCAGCCACATTAAATCAATCTAACCCCAAACGTCTCTTGATATGAGATAAACCGAAAAGTGTTTAAACCACAAGTCATACATACCTTCAGTCATAGCCCAAAGCATTACTAATTCATAAACCTACATCAGAGGGAAAAAGTACCTTTTTTCTCACTTAGCAAACAGAGAAAATGACAAATCAAGGGGTAGGGGAACCCTTGGCATAAATAATTAAATTTAAAAGACACAAAAGCAGGAATCATTGATCTATATTCTAATGACATTTTTTCCTCTTCTGAGACAATACTGAATGGTATTTTATCAGAAAGATAGAGAACTCTGGTGGCACAGTGTTAAAGAGTTTCACTGCTATTAGGAAGGCAGGTGACTGGAATCCATCAACTGTTACAAAAGAAAAAGGAGGAATCTGCTCCTATGTGATTTACTGCCTCTGAAAACCAGCTGGAGGATCAGCTTTGAGTAATATCCAATGGGGGTGATACATAACAATAACAATATATCTGAAATGAGTGTAGCAACATTTGAACTGCTATAAGAATCAGTAAGAATATAACCCAATGTACTAGATTGTTGTTGTTGGTGGTGTTGTTAGGTGCCATGAGTCTCAGAGGACTCATAGCAACCCTATGAACAAAAGACATGAACACTTGTATAATTTTCATTGTTTCTTTCTGGAGGCAAGTCATTTTGGAAGAGGATGCCACTCCTGCTTCCAAGCTTGTTTAATTGGTGAGCTCCACCAAACACTGTCCACCATGGGTAACCATTATCACATTGATACATAAGTTTTACATTTTTTAGCCTCACAGCAAACAGGAGTTACCTTTGTACAGCAAATGGAGAGACCAGTGCTATACCACTTAGAAGAATGTTTGACCAAAATAAATTAAAACCGGACCAGATTAAAATCACCTACCTTTGGCTTGGTAGCATAACTTTCTAACCATTAGGCAAACAGCGCTCTCCATGTTGCTGTTTGTCTAAGACTAAAACCACTTAAGTATTAGATACTCTGTAGTAATTATTGCTAACATATTTTAGTATTTCTATCATTCTTTTCCACAACAGAAGATTGCCCAAACATGCAAATTCTGATAACTAAATAAAACAAAACAAAAAAAAAACCCCACCACTCAAACAAACCAGATTTGTTGTTGCTGTTCTGTGACACTGAGTTGCCTGCTAATCATAGTACAATAGCTTTGAACTCTGCCCTATCCTGAGTCAGTCTCAAGGCCTACAACACACCTACTCCCATAACCCTAGTCTCTGGGTCAATCTACCTCATCAAACTTCTCCATGGATGCAAGGATTTTGAAACTCCAATTTACATAGTTTGGGCACGTCGTCAGAAGAGACCAGTCTTTTGAAAAGGACATCAGGCTTTGAAGGAAAGCACACAGGGTATTATTTTTCCTATATAATCCAATTTTGATAAAATATGGTAAGTTTCATAACTATTTAACATTTATCAGTTCCTTATTTAAATGATAGCAGAAAAATAATGGAAAATATGCTGAGTTCCAACATAGTTTCGAATGTGATGAAAAAACAAAATATACCTTCTAATCAATAACTGCTTAGAAGTCAGCATACTTGTCACAAATGAATTTTAAAAATGTCTGGTAATCACATTACTTGAACCGAATAAATTACAACAGCCAGTCCACAGTATGAAAACATAAGTAGGGCTTCCAGAAGCCCTATTTTCACAATTCCATACCTCATCAGACATCAGGGTGGCTATGGCTCTGCCAATTTCATGGTAGGACTTGGCTTTCCCCTTAGGACCTAAGAGAATGAACAAGAACCTAATGGAAAAGGAAAAAGGCAGAGTTTTTAACATTTCATTAGACTCAACAAACATAAAACTTAGTGTATTTTTTCATCACCGATATAAAATGTCAGTTCTAGGATTCATCTTTAAACAAAGATAACATGGATAATAAGAAGGGCTCTGTATTATTACACTAATATTATTATTCTTTCTGTATCAGTGCAGTTGGTACTGACCCTCAAAAAAATAAAACATTTTCCATTTATTTAGCAACAAAGTATAATTTATAAGGGAGAAACCTGAGACACTCCTTCCCCGCACAGGCAAGCATCACTTTATGAGTTGTAAATTATTTCCTATCCAAAATGTTCTCATCATCCTATCTTTGGTGCATGGTCAAAGAAATACCACTTTAAAGAAAAACAATTAAGCACAATAATTAAAAAGACTCAGTATATCTTCACATTTCTCAGTCTTTTTGAAACGAAATATAGGCTGTGACAAAGGATCCTTCCCACTATTTTAAGACATGTTTCTACCTGAAATTGTTAGAAAGAACCAAGTTCTTTATAAGAGATCCAGATGGTCACAGCCAAGGAATGAAAAAAAGTATGAGATGAATTTAAAAATGAAGCATAATGCACAGTTAAAATTCTTCTCTGGGATGTAATCACTTTCCTCTCCAAAATCATTTTCATGATTACACACACACAAAAATGCTACATAGCAAAGAGGTTCAAAAACAAGCAATGAAGAGCTTATCCACACTTAAAGTTCTCATCTTATCATGCTGGTTCCTTCAGTGATCACAAGGGAAAAATGCATATCTTGCCTCAAGAGAAAGGAACCTGGTAAGTAAATGAGTAAGATGTAATGTCCAAAAAATGGCACTGGATAATTCCTTGATTATATTATCACCTAACACAGAGATGGTGGATAAATTTAAAATTATAATTGTATATGGTTAAAGAACAGTTTAAAGCTTGCAAAGCAATTTCACCTTCATCACCTCACTCAATCTTCCAGACAACATTCTTCAGTAAGGACTTTTTTTTCCTATTTAAAGTTGAGGAAATTGAGACTCAAGTTGCTTACAGAATGAACCAAGTAGATGGTAGAAAGCATACATATAGGCCATCTAACCTTTTGTTCTTTTCACCACTTAACTTTTCCAATGTTATCCCCTCGATTATACACCAGAATTCTGATTCAATAGATACCAGCTACTCTGCTGAAGAAAGATGGGTAATCTCCTCCCATGCGCTTTACTCCCTCTGACAGCCTGCCAGAGGGTCAGCAATACGTTGGTTCTGACTCAACAGTATAGTCTCCTCCCATGTGATTAAATCTAGTGGAGGCAATTTTTACAGTCACTGGGTCAATCTATCAAACTGAAGGTTTTCCTCTCTTTCCCTGGCCACTCTACTTTCCAACCATGATGTCCCTTTCCAAGGACCAGCCCCTTCTAATGACATACCCAAAGTACATGAGACAAAGTTTGGCTATCTTCACCTCCAAGGAGCATTCTGGTTGCACTTTCTCTAAAACATATTTGTTTGTCCTCTTGGCAGCCTGTGGGATATTCAGTACATGTGTCTGATAGCACAACTCAAAGGCATAAATTCTCTTCTGTCATCCTTACTTAGCAGATGCACAGAAAATAAGTGAAAAGTCCATGGCTTTATTTAGGTGCAACTTTTGTCATTAATATCATTACAATTTAGAACTTTAGAAAGGGCCTTAACAGCAGATTGTCACAATATAACATGTCTTCTGATCTCCTGAATGCTCATAACAAGTGTGTTGCTTGTGGATTCCAGCAAGATGAAACTGTTGACAACTTCAATCTTTTCATATCTAGCATGATGCTGTGTATAGGCCCACTGATGAAGGTTGTATTTTTCCTTAATACTAAGATAAAATCCATGCTGAAAGTTGCAGCTCTTAACTTTCTGAAGCCAGTGTTTCAAGATCTTTTCACTTTCAAAGAGCAAAGTTGTGTCATCTGCATAATATAGGCTGTTGATGAGTCTTTTCTCCAATTCTGATTCCACATTCCTCTTCATAAAGTACAGATTCTTCAATGCTTTTGCTCAGCACCCAGACTGAAGAAATATGGAGAAAGGATACCACTCTTGTGCAAGCTTTTTTTTATTTTAAACCATGAAGTGTTGTTCCCTTGCCCTGCTCATACAACTGCCACTGGGTAGAGATTTCACATGTGTACAATTAAGTGTTCTAGGATTTCCGTTCTTCTCAACGTTGGCCATAATTCATTGTGAAGTACACAAAGGCCTTTTAATAATCTACAAAACACAACACAAAGACATCCTTCCAGTTTTCTCAGCTTGCCATGGCCTCTTCTAAATCCTATTTGAACTCCTGGCAGTTTCTGTTGATATACTTGTTCTAGCTGCTTTTAGATAACCTTCAACAAGATACTGCTTGCATGTGATATTACTTAAATTGTTCAATAATTCCATTCTGTTGATCATCTTGGAACTCTATTTACATTAAAACCCTATCAAATTCTGTGCCACTATTCCAGTCTCTGTGTGCTTAAGACAGTTGTTGCAGTCATTGTCATTAATCCTTCTCATTAATAGTCTTCTTTTTGTTGACCCTTTAGTAAGCATAACAGCCTCCTCCAGGGACTGGCTCCTCTTGTAATGCTCAAAGTACTGGAGAATAACGTCCTAATAGCTTAAAATATTCATATAATACAACCTTGTTTGTAGAAAATAATGAAGATTAGAAGCATTTACCAATCAGGTTTAAAGACTATAGTTTCCGTGTGGACTAACACCAATATATAAAAAAAAACAACAACCCAAAACCAAACAAACAAACAAAAAAAAACACACCAAAAACCCCAAACCAATAGAATCCTTATAACTAAACCAATCAACAGCATTATGATAACAGATAAAGGATTAAAGTTGTCAAAGTTTACTTCTGCTTGGATTCATAACCAATATCCATGCTTTCAAGCAGCAGCCAAGATGTCACACAAAGTACTAAATACACCTTTAAACTTTAAAGAATCTCTTTAAAGTGTCAAAGAGCAAGGATATCATCTTGAAGACTAAGATGCTTTTGACCCAACTCATGGTATTTTCTATCATCCCATATGCATATGAAAATTAGACAATAAAAAGAAGGCCAAAGAGGAATTGATGCCTTTGAACTGTGGTACTGGCGGAGAATACTGACTAGACTATGAACTGTCAAAAGAACAAAACTGTTTTGAAAGAAGTACAGTCAGAATGTTTTTTGAGAAGTGAAGATGGTAAGACTTTGTCTCACATACTTTGCACTATTATTGGTAGCACTTTAATACAAAATTTAGTAGTGAATGAGTAACTAACCCAATAGTTGATTGCATAATTTGTCCTCTGAGATAAATCCTATGAGAAGAGGGTATTTACTTTTGCTGCCTGTTAAATATTATTAATCAAAGAGTTGATAAAAGCAGCTTTCTACTTGTGACTAAGACAAATATCATAGCAACTACCCCGGAGTATGAGAATTATACTGGTTCAGTAACCTAGATATAAAGATAAAATTCCACGATTTCTTTCTTCTTTTTATGTATCACAGAGTTATAACTAATTCCTAGCTGACCCTCCAGTGGGTTTTCAGAGGCAGTAAATCACAGAAGACTGTCCATCTTTCTATCATGGAACAACTAGCATTCTGAATTATGTGCCTTTGGGTTAGCAGCGCAGCTCCTTACCACTGGGCCACCAGAGCTCCTGTTCTTAGGTAATGTAATTTGCATTTTAAAAATGTAAAAAGAAGATAGTATTTCTCCTTTAACAAAATGTCACAAAATTTTTTTAAAACCCACTAAACAATATAGTTATACCTCGGTTAAAATTCTGTATTACTTTAGGCAGTAATAATTCTATACACCATCTCCTTAAAATTATATGGAGAGGGAACATAGATAGCCATATAAGCCAGTAGAAAACAGAATCATTAGTCAAAAGCTTCATCTGTAGAATAGAAATATGTAAGAAGCCACTAATTTGGACTGCAGGAGGATGTGGGTGGCACGAATAGCTAAGCACTTGACTGCGAGCCCAAGGGTTGGCAATTTGAAACCTCCCTGAATCATTTTGGAAGACAGTCTGAGCAGTCTTCTCCTGAAAGATTACAACTGTGGAAAAGCCTAGGAAGAAGTTCTGCTGTGTGTGAGGCACCATGAATGAGCAGAACCTCAACTGTAAGCAGCAACAACGTGGACTGCTTAAAAGCAACTGAAATGTCCAGCATATAAGGGTAGAGTACATATAAAATCCATAGTAAATGTGTCTTGATAGAAGGAGGAGGAAAAAACAAAACAAAACAAAAAAAGAGAATGAGCGATCTGGAGAAACCAGCAGCACAGAACAACTCAGTAAGTTGAAGCTGCTTCTGTCTGAAACAGTTCTCTCCCCTTTAACCTTTAAAGAAGGAAAAACTGTTACAAATTTTATGACAGAAGTACATCCTTCCAAATTCAATTTTTATAATGTGCTGAACACACCTTTCATGACCAAAGCTATTTTTTGGATAATAGACAGCTGTAATTTTTAACCAGAAGCCTTTCTTCTTTATTAACAAATTAGAATAAACACCACATTTGAGTGACTAGGAGGGCACAGCCCAATATTGACAGATCCAAAAAAATTATGTTACTGAGTTCTTTTCATTCAACTCATATCTAGAAAGAAGTCACAGAATTTTTAATAGGGCCAAGTTATCTAAAGAATCTTCAGGAGGTCCTCCTAATGTGGTGAATTTTTGAATATAACTAATTATGCATGGAGATAATGCCTCTTGCTTTCTACACAACAAAAAGAATTAGATGATCTGTGTCCAGAACCAATGAACTATACTCACATTCCAAAATAGTTATAGACAAAAGCACTGTAAAATATCAAAAAGGGAGCAAGCCTTCCCAAAGCACTCAATCTTTTCATAAAAGATGTGCACCCCCTTCCTTCCTTATATATCACAGCTATTTCTAGAATAAACTCAGCATGTACC